GGGGGGGGGGGGGGGGGGGCGCAAGACAAAAAATGCCTTGTGGACCCCCGGAATGCCTTGTAGGGAGGCTAAACGTAAATTTTTTTTAACCCCCAAACCTGCCAGTAAGCCTAGAAATCCTGAACGCAGAAACCCTAAACCCAGAAGACCCCTGAACCCAACAACGCAGAAAGCCTAAACCCCCAAACGCAGNNCCCAAACGCAGAAACCTTGTACCCCAAACCCTTGCTCAGAAACTGAAACCCAAAACCACTGGACACTTGAACCCAGACCCAGAAACCCAAAACCTTGTACCCCAAACCTTTGAACTCAGAAGCTAACAACCCAGAACACCTACACCCAGAAGTTCTTAACCCAGAAATCTCCGAGTAAGCCCAGAAACACCGAACGCAGAAACCCTAAACCCAGAAAACTCTTGAAGCCAGAAATCCAGAACCCAGAAACCGTAAACCCCCAAACACAGAAACCCTGTACCCCCGGAAACCCTCACCCAGAGACCGAAACACCTGAATCCAGAAACCTTTAACCCAGAAGCCCTATACCCGAAATCCTTAAACCCCTGAACCCAGAATCCCTAAACCAACAAAACCAAAACCTTAAACCCCTAAACCGAGAAACACCAGAAACCCTGAAACCGGAAACTCAAAACCAAGAAACCTTGAACCCATAAACCCTAAACCCCTCAAGCCCTGGTCTTCGGGAAACAGACGTTTGGAAGCGGAGACAACGGGGATCCGAGAGCTCTGGGGCCTGGCCCGGCTGTTCACTCCACAGTGACTGCGTGATCCCTGTCTCTTTTTCGCTGCAGGGAGGACACTCAGACTCCCGGGTACATGTAGCTGGGGAGGACCCCCCTCCAAAGGTGCCGTAAGGCATTCCGATTTTTTTAAACCAGCCAATAATGTCTTATGGGGGGAGGGGAGGGTTTCGGAGATAGAAGGAGGTATGCAGAGAGGCATAATCGTGGGTGGGTTGTCAGCTAGAAGTGGCAGCGGCCCGGGTGTTTTGGGCAGCACCAGTGGACCAGCAGCAATTAGAAGAAAAGGAGCCGGAGAGGCCGATGTGAGAGGGAAGCGTTTGTGACATGGTTTGGGATTTTGCGACAGCGGCCTACTGATAATAGGTTCAGCTCGTACCGACCTGTACAACTCAGCTGAAGTCCCTGAAGGCCTCGTGCGAGCTTTCGTTCGCTACCACCACGTGCAGTCGCTGATGAAACGGACCCCGCTGCAGTAAGCGTGAAACTAATCTGAAGTCGGCTTAAGTCATATATTTGCAGTTTGCAATAGCTTTGTGGCTTCTGCTTACTTTTGCAGCAGCGAATCCATTGAGTCGGGCATGCCGTGCTTTGAATCGATACGAAACAGAGAGTTTGTGATTGGACGGCAATTATGGGATGTTATAGGCGGTTGTGCCAAGTCGACAATTTCGACACCTTGAAGGCCGCCGCAGACTTTTAGATTTTTTAGAATCAGTGCATCCTGCGGGGCGATGGAGCAAAACTGGATGAGCCAAACTGGTTGAAGCCAGGAGCTACATGCGAATGTGGGCTGAAGACTTGGGCGTCGCAGCAGGACGCCTACTTGAGCAAGCATGCTTTGGTTTATGTGTGAGGCACATCTACGGCAGCTGTACGGCCTGGGCAAGTTAATACGGTACTTTGTGTGTCGGTCAGCACGTTAGCACTTCGCCAGGAAAAGACTTTCTTTGCGCATCTGGAGCCAAGGCAATGAAATAAAGCGGTGGGAGGTCAATTCTTCCCAGCAGGGTAAGGAGGAGGAGGAGGAGTGGTGGTGGTGGTGGTCGTAGTAGTAGTAGTAGTCGT